ATCCACCACCAGCAATAACGTACTTCTGAAATGGTAATTCTAGTACTGATGCACAACAACACGAAAGCGGTGTCTACTAACGAACAGAACCTCGAAACAAAATTGATTTTCAGTCAGAGCAAACCCAAGCACAAAAACGAACAAAATAAAAAAAAACATCCCCATCATCCAACCTACCAAAAAAAAAACCAAAAAAAAAAAGAAAAAAAACGAAAAAAAACCCCCCAAACAATAGTACCCCCTGAAAGAAAAATAAGGAATGAAAAAAGAATAAATCCCAGAAAGTCTTAGTGCAAAAAACCAAAAAAAACCCAACAAACTACGTCAAAGAAGCAACGGAAAAATACCAAGAGCATATAACACAATAACAACGATAAGAGCAAAACACCCAAGAAGAAGGACAAGAAGAAGGAAAATAACCAAAAGCAAATATCCTCCTCCCATTCTTTTCTCCCCCCCCCCCCCCCCCCCCCCTCAACAAAGCAAAAAATAAAACAGGCAAAACAAAAAACAAAAAAACAAAACAAATCAAAACCATAAAATATTTTGAAAATAAAAACAACAACTACAATCAGAACTACACATAAAACATATAGATCTACATACACGCAAACAAAGCAACACAATCAAACTCACTAAAACTTCAAAAACAATTTCCAAAAATACCCGAAAGAAACGAAAGAGCGTTTGCGTCTGCGTCTGAATAGTACAGTTAACCAACTGATCACATTGTTAAGGAAACTAACTCTTTGTTGATTTATAGGGGAAAATAAATATCAAGGGACACAACCTAGATTTTTTTCGAAAATCGTCGAGCATTTGCCTTATCCCTCGTGAGGACAAATTTTTAATTTGGGCTTAAGCCTCGTGCACACAAGACCATTTCTACTCGACGCACGGCAGTGAACAATGACGTCACTAAGCTGCTACAAGAGAACAAAAGAGCGATCATGCCTCATTTACATACTATGTACATGCAGCGTGCGATGAGGGCTGGTATGCGTTGGGTTTTAGACGAAATACCAAAGAAAAAGCAAGGAAACTAATTCGGATCCTGCTAAGATTCAAACCACTTTCCTCCACGTTGCACGCGCAGATAAAACTTTGAACCTACTGTGTCATGGCGAAAGATTTTCAAAAGAATCAAACCAAATTATCCGAATTGATTAAAGACTATGCTCACGCGTTTGACTAGTCGTGTTTGAAAAGTTGGGTAGGGTTCAAAAGTCTCACATGAATCGGCTTGACGACACTTTGACTTTTGTGACTCAGTGCACAATGGCGTCTAGACCATCATTCAATGCGAAGGTGATCAGTCTCTTGAACGACTCTTTTGTAAAGTTCTCTGCTGATTTTGAGGTAAATGTATTGCTCTTCCAACTCAATTCATTCTTACTCGATGGTTCTGTAAGGGTCGATTCTAATACATGTATAGAATAAAGATATGACTCTTAACGCTGTTGAGACATGCAGCTCCGTCTTTCGCCATCTCGTTAGGGGGGGACATGCACAGTCAATGATTTTGTCACATCAATGGTCGAGACGAGAAGCGTCACCTTTAGAGATCTCAGTGAGCGAGACCGAGAATGCCATCTTTCAATATTACGACTGTCGAGACAAAAAGGTGTCCCTGATGTTGGCTACTCTAGCGTCGGAAGTTGTGAAGAGTAGGTTCACCTTTCCTCCTCTTGAACATCGAGACAGCGCGTAGTACACACGCAATAATAAGGTCAATTTTGGTTCAACTGTATACGTTTTATATCCCCATCAAAACAATCTAAACAACCTAGATCTAGTGGGAGGACTGCTTCTACTCTGCTCGTCAGGGCCAGCACAGGCTGATTGGAATACAACATCCTAACAGACAGATGGTTATAGATGTAGATAGGAAACGTCTTCTGCAGGCAACGGCCATAAAACAACGTAGTCGCCGGTTACATATTCGTGCTGTCCATAATATCGTACAAATCACCATCCTCCTCTCGGGGATCAAATTCTTCCTTCCCTCCCCATCCATCTTTATCACCTTCCACAGGAACGTCCTTCCCGGATTTACTGCCTTCCTCAGTCGGTATTGACGGGAGGGGGCGCTTTTTGTTCGGGTTCAAAGATCTACTGTGAGACCGGCGGGAACTTCCAGACGGGGATATCGTGGACGTGACAGGGGTGACTTTTGCTACTGGAGAGAGGGTAGGGAGAGACGGTGTGTGAGGAGGTAGGGGAGGTGGTGAAGGTGTCAGTCGGGATGGGGGAGGGGGGAGAGATGATGTAGCTGGGGGTGGGGGCAGTGGTGGGTGAAGGGACTGAAGAGGAGGGGGCGAGGGTGGCGGAGGGAGAGGGAGAGGGGAGGCTGCTCTTGGTGGTAACGGTGGTTGCAGTGACCCCATCTCGCTTTTTAACGACTTTGATGATGAAGATGTCGCTGGTGAGGATGGAAAAGTCGCTGGGGGCAGTAGAGATTTAGCAGTAGCAGCTGCTGTTGTTGTTGTAGCCGACGCAGACGGTGGAGGGGGTAGAGGTGGTGGTGGTGGGAGGTCGGGCGAAGTTTCCGGTTCGTCCTTCAAGTGTTTGAAAGACTGCATCAAGTGTGATGGCTTTACGGGAAGCGTCGGGGGAGTGAGCTTGATTCCGTTTTGTCCAGGTTTGAGCGATAGTTTTGGAGGATCTGCTGCCCTTGTGTGACCGTTCACCCTTCTTGAAGAGTTGTTCGCGACACCGGAATCATTTACGCCTTGAGAGTCATTTGCGCGAAGAGAGGCATTTGCACCTGTTGTATTATTGCTTTTAAAAGAAGAGTTATTTGTGTGAAAAGAATTCGTTTTCTTAGATAACGCGTCTGCTTTCCGAGATGAAGCTCCATTGGTGAATTTTAGGGGTTTGGGTTTAATAGGGACTGGGGCAGTGGGGCGGGTGGGGAGAGGCGGAGGAGTGGGGGACGTCGGAGGGGTCGCATTAGCTGTTCCATTCTTTGGTTTGTTGGTGAATGCATTTGGAGTTTTATTTGTCAAGCTCGTAGTTGCCTTCTCCTCATTTGTCTGCAAAGGAAGATTTCTGATATGGGTTTTATTATTACTTTCAGTAGTGGGGATTATCTCAGTGTTATAAACTTGCTTCTGGAGTTTCTCTGCACAAGTAGCTGTAGTGGAGACAATCGGGGCTTTAAAGCTGGAGAGTTGACCTTTGTTGAGGTTACCGCCCTTAGTCTTCCCGTTCTTCATCGGCGGCGGAGGAAGAGGTCGTGTGGGTGGTGGTGGAGGGGAGTCTGGTTTGGGCAAAATTGGAGGCCAAAACGAATCGAGGTCGTCTTTGTTGCTCATCTTTTCCCTCACACTTTGGCCGTTGACATCTGGAGCTGCGACTGCTGATGTTTCTTCCTCTTCTGGTGGGGGCGGCGGCGGTGGTGGTGGTGGTGGCGCAGCAGCTTCTGTTGCTGAAGTGACAGCATCAGTTTGTCTGACGTTCTGCTGTTGGTGAGTGTGATACGCCGGTTTAGGCTGGAGAAGGACAGGGGGCGGAGCCGGAAGGGGCGTGGCGGAACAATCTTCAGCTAGATCTAGTTCCTCTTCCGGTGTGAGCAGATCCAGATTTCCGGAGCCAGGTAACTGAAATGCAGCAGGTGGGGTGGTGGGGGATAGGGGCGAGTCCGGAGGGGGAGGGGGCGGTGGGGGCTGGGCTTGGGGGCGGGGAGCAGCTGTTGGCAGAAAAGAGATGAAGTACATTTAAATAGGGGTTCAAGAGAGTCCTAGCATGACTATACATTTTTTTTTTATAGTAGAGGGTTTTACGGCATAGCATGACTGGGAAATCCATCAATCAATACTATTACTACTTAACTACAACTAATACTATAGTGTGGTAAAAAATTCGAGGTGCGACTTATTTTTAAATTTTTCCTCAGCTATCGAACATAGGTTGTCCAATTTTTGCACAGTGACTTGTATCAGGTTGTCTTTACAGACCAACATTTTTGTAAACACCTGCAAGCAGTATTCTAGAAAATTCCTTAATAAATACTAATCAAAATTCTAAGTGGGTGGTTTCTACAGATTTTTAAATGTTTACTGCTGAGGCAATATAGCTTGTAATAGCAAGTCCGTCAGGTTTTTCTAATCGGGACATTTTGCTTATTGAACGCATGTTTTGAGAGCCATTAATGCAAAATGTGTTCACTATAAGAATAATTTCTTGTAACAAGTTTTGTAAGTAAAAATTGTCTTTGATAAGCTGTGACGTTGGCCATATGCGTAATCAAAATGTGTGTGAGAAGCGGGAAGTGCTGTGAACAATACCATTTTACACGTGACAGAAATTTCAAGTGTTTTATATAAAGTTATGAAGACAAGTTTTTTTAATCTAGCCCCAATTGTTATAGAAAAATATGATTTTTAAGACAAATTGATACAAATTGCTATCCAAAGTATGGATGACACTGATTCACCCGTTAAAAAGATTTTTGAAGATAAGTTGAACCACGAATTTTTGACCGCACTATAATACTAATATTAATACTAATACTGATAATCATCATCATCATCATCATCATAATCATCATCATCTTCAGCAGCAGCAGCAGCAGCAACAGCAGCAGTATTACCACCACTACCACCAGCAGCAGCAACAGTAGTAGCCGCATTAGAAACCATCACCACTAACAACAACAACAACAACAACAACAACAACAACAACAACACAAAAATAACAACCTTAACAATAATGACGACACCACCACAACCACCACCACCACCACCACCATCAACAACAACAACAACAAAATAACAACAACAATAACAGCAACAATAGCAATGACAACAACAACAAAATACCTACCATGCTTTCTGGGTGTTCGACTGGGGTACGTCTTCTTACATCCGATAAACACCTCCGGAAGTGGCACAGTGCATGTTGGCCGGAAGACAAACTGACTCTGGAACTCTGGCAAGTTCAGAAACAACAACACGGGGTTAATGGTCTCTTTCATTTGGTTTTGTTTTGCTTTGTTTTGGTGTATTAAAATTTTTCCCAATCTATATTTCTTGCAGATGAAAGTGGGGCGTGGTGGGTGGGACGGTGATCAGGGAGGCTTTAGAATGATATGCAGTTGATATTGTCCAAGAAGAATTTTGAGAGTAATTTCGAATGTTACATATATGGTAAATGAACAGAACTGATACTTTGGGGAGGGGGGGGGTATAAAATAGCCATCATTCAAGGAGGGAAATGAAGAGGCAGACAGGGTAAACATTGAAAAGACATCAAAGAGTGGCCTGTCCGTGACTGGAACATCTTACAACGGAAAGCTGAGAACAGAGAGGCGTGGAAGAAGTTGGTTACAAAATCTGAAGTGGTGCCCTAGCGGTCAGCCAGACTACTAGATAGGTAGGCCTAAAGGTGGAAGTGAAGATATAACTAGTCGATGACCCATGAGGAATTGGGTGTGGACTTTCCAAGTACACAACGACTGGTACGTCTTTAACTGAGCCCATATTCTTCTTAGTTTTTCCAGACGTTGGACGTTGGTTCTCGGACCTTTTTGAAATAAAATACTGTCTCTTGCCTTTCTACCTGCTTGAATTGTTTTGGTTCTAAGCTAGGTTTCTATGACATATTCACATTTTCTAATAGGTCTTCCCCGTTTCCCCTTTTTGCCTTTTACCTTTGATTCCAGAATAATGTTTCTCGAATGAATTCTGGCATTTGATAAGCTCAAAGTAATTCAGTTTGTTTCACTTCGTTCTGGAGGAGAGTTCGTGTTCCTATACGTATTTGACTTAGTACTTCATAATTCCTTATTTTCTGTGTCCATCAGTGGAACGATAACAATCTCCATAGATACTTAGGAGAGGGCCACCCAACAGGAAGCTCCAAAAACAGTC